CCCAGCCAGCCCAACTATAGCATGCTATTTCTCCAGTGTCAAAATGTTTTTCTTTCTTCATCTACTACTTGCACATAGATCAGGCTTCCAAGCAATACTTTTAATGCTTCCTTTTAAAAATATACTGAAGCATTTAGCATTTTGCAAGACAATTCAATAGTCTGTACTTAATAAGGTGCTTCAGTAGTATGAAACACTACTGAAACAAATGTGTCATTGTCAGCACTGGAGTATAAAAACAATAATGGGCGTATAAACTTATTCAGGGGAGGAAAAAGTATGATTCCACCTAGCAGCTGGGTGAAAAGAATCAGCCTTGTCAGCAAAAATGCTAAAGCAGAAAAGCCAGGATCCTGACTTAATTATTTTACACAAAGAGATATTTCCCATAAACTCTGTTAAGATGTACATAGTATTACTACACAGATACAAAATAAAACTGAAAGGCAGAGCCTGATGCCTCATTACTGAGAAGTCCACACAGAATACCCTTACCTGACTAATCCCAGTGGAAGAGATCTTGTAGGACTGGAGCTTCTGCTTCAGCAGCTCAGGATCACTGTGGCGGAATGGGCATCCTGACAGCAAAACACAAACAAGCTCACAAACAAGGCTCTTTACCCTGGAGTTAGCACAGTAATACACTCAAGAGATGGACTAAGCTGCTCTTAATGGTTTAAACAGTTTATTAATAAAAAAAGTTAATTGCCCATGTGTGAGATGCTTTACTCTTTTTCTAAATGACTACTTCACAGTATGGTTTATCAGGACACTACAGGCTGAAGAGTTACATAAAACCTCACAACATAAGCAGGCCAAGATTCTCATTCATGGAGTGAAAAACAGTTTTAATTAGGTCCCTTACTAACAAGCATAGGCAGTCAAAACAGCTTTACCACTGTGTCATGTAAGAGTAGTGTCAAATACAAAAAACCTATGCCTAAGAAGCAACAGGACACACAACCAACAGTCAAGAAAACTGAAGTAAAAGAACTGTCTTTTTATTAAAGAATATGATAGGATTTATTCCTTATTGAAAAATAGTATTTTCATGAATTCCACCACTAAAAATGAACAAAACCGAAGAGATACCTGAGCCTCTGGAGAGATTGTTTGAAATGCTCCGAAGACTGTTATTATACTTTAAACAGCAAATTTATAGACATACACAGATAAAGAAGCACCTCAAAAATGGTCAAAATGTTAAAAAAATTAACCTAAAAAATGGAGACTCTTTAGAGCACTTCCTTCTGAAGTGTTACCTAAAACTTCTGTACACTCCAAACATCTGTACACTTGTTCCTCCAACATCCCACAGTTCCCTGTTCCAGGGTCTGATGCCTGGCACTTCCCTCAGGGTCCACATAGCCCCAGCTGGGCCAGCACAAAGCCCCAAGCTGATGGGGTACACATGGGGAGCCAAGACAGATACGTTACTCAGTGTCTGCACAGCCCTGGCTCAGCCAGCAAGCAGCCCAGAGCTGGGGGGGCAGTTAACAGAGACCCTGAGGGAAGCATCTGTGTTGGCTTCCCCATGCTCCTCTTCATCCCCTGCCCACCCCAGCCAGCTCTGAGCCAGCTGAGCTCAGGCTGCACAGATCCTGAGGGAGGCTCTCTGTTGGCTCCCCACCATGCCCCATCCCACCAGCAAACTGGCCAAGCCAGGGCTGTCTGGACCCCATGGCTATGTTGGCACCCCATGCCCTCCTTCCCCCTCCCCCCACCCTCGCGCCAGGAGCCGCAGTTGGGCAGAGGAGCTATGTGGATGGTTCTGTGACAGCCCAAGGGTGGGGCCAGCTAGGTGCTGGGCTGAAGCAGCAGAGCATGAGCCATGTTAGTGGGCTACCCTGCAAAGAGGGGTGCAGGGGTGTGCAAAGCATCCTGGTGACCTGCAAGGTAACTTGAGTCAGGAGGGGATCTGGGACAGAAGTTTGATAGATCGGTTTGACCTAAACCAGCTAAGTCTGATATTACATCCATTCAGCCAGGTTTGGCTGTTTTAAAACCAGTTTGTGTGTGCTGAACTTCTATTCTGTTACAGGTTTAAACCTGTTTCTGATCACTTACGCTGGCTTGTGTGTAATGTTTGTCCCCAGCCTTAAAGTCTTTGCCTTATAGGACCACATTATATGCAGTCATTTGCTGTCAAATGGTATCTGGAAGAAGAGTCCTGGCTATGCTGCTAAGCTAATATAAACCTAGCTTGAGTACATGTACAAGAGCTGCAGCAGGAGTCGCATGCATCTATATCTAGCCTTGTGTAATGTACAGTAATATGTAAAGTTAAAATTTCTCAATCATTCTTAATAGGGGAAAAAGAGCGCTTCATGTCTCAAAGCTTGTTCAACATCTTTCCCAACTAAACAGTTTAATCAATAAAATATAAAACAAAACCCCTTCTCTCTCATCAGCTGTTCTTACTTTATGATTGTGAGATTAAAAATCTAATACTGTAACTCAGTGATTTGTCCTTTGAAAACTGAATGGATTCAGTATCACTGGAGTAGGTTTGACAGTTTGCAAGCAAAGATGAGTAACTCTAGTGTATTTTCTGAAACAAAACAAAGTAGAAAGGAGTATAGCCACAAGGAAGAAAAAACAGTGATGAGTTTGGCACAGCAAAGATTGAAATTTTCTTGAATTAATTTTTCTTGCTTGATGTAGTTCAGTAATAAGACAAATCACCAGAAGAGTAATAGAGCACTAACTTGAGAGCAATGATTGGCATAAGCTACAAACTAGTTTCTAGTAATTCAGCCATCCAAACAGTTCTCTCCCAAAAGTGCTGAACCTCCATATATTCTGAATCTTCTGGTTTTAAGTACTCACCATGATAATCCCCTTGACTTGGTGGATTGGATAAAATAATCTTCATGCAGCTATATGGTGTATAATCAGTCCTTTTGCCTTCTTTTCCATAGTTATGGCGGATGCTGTAGGCATATCCTTTGTCAAACTGAATGGCAAAAACATTAAAAGCAGAATATTTGCACGGGACCTGCACATGGCGTCAAAGATTCCATCAACTCTGCCAGATTAAATATTGTCCGATAAAAACAAGCCTAGGAAACCCATTCAAATGACAATAACAAGACCATGTTACTGTTTCTGGGCAATACATACTGAGTAGATTACATTAGATTTTTTAAAAGGCAATGATTTTTTTTAAATACTATATTTATAAAGAAGATGATTGACATTTTGAACCATGTGATGCATGGGAATATAGCAGATAGACTCTTATTGAATCTTTTGTTTTCACATGCTGGACATTAAAGGCTATATCTTACTTCAGTTTACGTGCCCAATAGCAATGGCCCTTCTACCATCGTATTTTTTTTGCCCTAAAGATTATGATCAAATCACATCTTAACCTTCTTTGTGATAAATTAAATGGACTGAGGTTCTTAGTCTCTCTTGGAAGATCTCTCTTGTAGCTCTTTTCTGAATTCTTACCAACTTGTTTATATATATATATATATTTTTTTTTTTTAATAAATTGATACAGTATTCTAGTAACTATTTCACTGATGCCATCTATATTGGCACTCCTATACTTGATATTCCTCTGCATATGTTTGAGAACAGCAATTTCTTTCTTAGCAAATTGCAACAACTGTAAACTTAAGATCAGCTGGTCCTTCTCTGATTCACTTTATAAAAAGAGTTTTGCTCCAATCCTTAGTTTCTTGCATTTTCTTAGCTCAAACTTATGTTGCTCAGGTGAGCCCAGCTCTTCACAAAAACCAGGCTGTTTTATAGAATTGACCTACATGGAACCAGGATAATCCTCCTGCAACTTAACTAGCCCCACTGATGACACACATCTCCTTAATCTTTTTTTTTTTTTTTTTTTTGTTTTT